AACATATATATATATACAAATATATATATATATATATATATATATGTACGTTCCCCACCCGCGGCTCAACCACATCAAATTCTGGAAGCTTGATGACCACAATCAGATCGACACGTATCCTTGGACATTCGTGAGGATAGTTATATTTCGGGATGCCGATGAAGGTGTGTGGGTGTACTCCGAGCTGCTTGATTTGCCTGTAGACGTTTCATCATCAGGCTAGACTACATCATCAGTGCGATTTATGCGGGCCACTTAGAGATACAGCCGATTCTTGATCACCTACTGATTCGAATGTCAGAAGTCGCTTGGTCCACTTGAGTTGACCGTGTAGTCAGATCTTGCGTTCTGTTGGCGTATCCTGCCTAATATATTGTCGGCCATCCAAACTCGTTAGATATGGGAAGCATCAGCAGCTTGCCTGAGCGCTGGCAGTAAATTGTCGATAACATCTGCTGTCATAGTGATCAAATGTTATTGCTTCCCTAAAATAAATATTAAGTAAAAGTGAGTTAAAGGTTTCAGTTGATTTCGGGACAACCCAATACGTGGCAAATATGGAACAAATAATGCACCATAGGCGTATGTATGGCTTTGTACAGTTGTCGAAGTGTTTGATGTACACTCGGACAGCACCATGTGTAACTGTGACCACCATCATCGATAATTTTGTGTGTATCACTGTTTTAGGAGTCAATCTGGTTGGATACCATGGTGCCAATATTTTCCGGCCAAGAAACATCACAGCATCGGTATGGATGTTTCACTAACCTGGCAGTCACTTTGAGGTGGTTACTCTTGGGGCCAGGAAAGACCACTGGAGAGCAATGGGTTCAATACGGTAGCACACACACAGTGATAAAACCTAGAATCAAGCAACGGGTTAGGGAGGAGTTCCTGAGACGAGTACCATCGAAGGAGAGTCTCCTGACTTCAATGAGTATTTTGTTAACTTGAAGAGATTAACTGAGACCACCAATCGGCGTCCCTAGGACGTATTCCACTGATGTGGGGTACTTCAATTTTCATCATCTCTACCAAATTGAGAGCAGAGCTTGAGGATTTGCTGGTTGCGATTTCCTTCGAACAGAGAAAAAGAATCGTATTGTACGTCCCGGTGTTCAGCGATGGGCATCGGGCTTTGGACCAAGCTGTGAGGTTGTCCATCAGGGTTTATAATCTGGCCGAGGACTCTAAGTTAGATGACGGACACCAGGGATTATGTCATACATGTACGTAGTACGATGACTATTTCAGGGATGCGTGATTTATGTAACGTAATTTAAAAACAAAAGCAGAGACCGTATAGGTCTTTATGGAGAATACCGGAACTCGTGGTGAGTAACGAGGAAATTTCCATCGAAAATCTAGGGCCGTACGATGCCCACATCTCAGCAGTGGTGTAGATCAAACGGTGCGTCTAAGTGACATTGCTATACCTGTATACAGAGTTCATAAAGTCCCAGGTCTCCCTGAGCCTTCCTATCGCTAAGCGGATAACCCAGGTGGAGCTTGACAACATATGCGATAGTAATTCGCTACCACTGTTATCTTTCTGTGTTCCAACCCGTTTCACATCACGGATAGCACTTGCGTTAGTCGGAAATATAAAGACACTAGGTAAAGTGGAACGTATGCTTGGGATACAAACTTCTTGTGGTTAGCGATGAATTGTTGCTTACCTGTTAATGAAAGATTACCGAATGCTGCATTCTCAACGCGAATTATCTCAAGTCACTATGAAGTAATGCAACCTGCCACTTCGTATCAGCAAAGTGGCAGGGCTTAAACAAAACTACGGAAGTGGCTATCGTTCTCTCCACGACCTATCAGTAGTGGGATCATCCAAGCCAGTGGATTCGGTCTTTCGGCGTTTCTGCTTGCCATGTATAACATCAATATTTCTGCAAAATGTCATACCACCATTTCCCTACAAAAATTTCAACATAGCAAGAACAACGTACAGGCTAGCCAACGTAACTAACCATCGATTTGCGGTATTGACTTATTACTCCCAACCGTTTGCACTTTTCCCCCACTGTATGTAAGCGGCTGGAGAGAACACATGAAATATACCGAACGCAAATTAGTTCGTAGAAATGTTCAGTTATTACTCTGTGTAAACTTCTGCGAAACTTGAACGGTCATTTGTATTCGCCGACTATACCAAGATCGTCTATAAACTTCAAGTTGACAAACATCACGGAACGCAGTTGCTCAGTCAGGATGAGTTACATTCCCATGAGATATGGTGCCACTTTTGCATGATAAACATTTCGGCTTAGAACCCAGGCATTATGCTATAGGGCTGTTCCATCCCTGAAGGAACTATCGTACGGAACAGTGAACATGTCCCTACACTACTGTCCCCTCGCAATGTAGGAATTACAAGCTCATCAACCTTCAACTGCTCCGAAAAGGCCCAACACCAAGTTTCACGCGACAGACAATTTGTGGTTCGTATATCCAACAAAATCTACACAACTCATGATAGTGTAGCGCCCAAAAAGATAACTCTTATCTTTCTTGTACAATTTACTTGTTGACCGATTGTACATTACTCCTTCTTGTTTTAATCTTACAACCGGCTCGACACACAACTGCCTTCTAAGTCCCCGCGCTCACGTGTACGCTCTTGCCTCGCTTCATCCGTCCGCTTATTGTTGTAGCCCATCGAATACAGTCCACTGTGTCCGACTCCAATTGCCTTCTGATATCCCCGCTTAATTCCGCGCATAGTCTCGGACTAGTATTAACTAGTCCTACAAATTGGTGACCCCGATTCGCACGCGCGAATTCAACATTTTTTCTCGTTTGTATTTTTTTGGTGAGTTCGTTCCTTTTTCTCGATTATATACCTATATTCATTTGTTTCTTGCGTAATTTTAGTACTTTATCGTATTTCGTTCGTTCTTTATCTTTCGACTCATATTTCGAGAGTGGCATCTGAGTCGTTTCACAGCGTAACCATGCTTACTTTGGCTGTTCCAAGTTTCATGGAACACAGTCCAGAAGTTTGGTTTAAGATATTCGAGATCGAACTAGAAAACAAGGGCATAACTGCGGACCGTCCAAGATATGATCAGCTCCTCCCACGCCTTCCTTCGTTGGTAGTGACGTTGATTGAGGACATTCTACTCTGCCCATCGAATGAGGCAAAGTATGGAACGATGAAGCAAGCGCTTTTAAAAGAGTTACGGCCCAGCGCACGAACTCGATTTGAACAGCTCAATGGTCTCAAACTTGGAGATCGCAAGCCGTCGGCACTGCTCCGCGAACTTCAGTGCATCGCTGATCCCTTATTCTTGAGCGAGGAAGTGATAAAGGAGCTGTGGTTTGCACGTCTCCCAGAGCCATTGCCGGTAACGCTGTCCATGTTTATAGATACACCCCTGAAAGACTTAGCTACCAAGGCAGACGCTGCGTTTGAACGTTTCCCGCAGCAGACGACCAGTAACTCCGGTGACGTATTCTCACCGATGAAAACCGAATCCCATGTTTGTTTCCAGTCGCTAGACCGATCTGACTCTGAAGACGAGGAAATTGCGCTACTTCGCAGCAGGATAGCGGCAATGAAGGCTTCGAAGCAGCGTGTGCCACGGTCAAATGCTGACCACGTTTTGGCTACCGTTCATTGCGGCTCGTCTGTGCCTGCACCGAGTACGTCACGTTCGGCACGAAAGCGCCACATTTTCCCTGCACGTTCTCAGTCAGATAATGTCAATCCCGTCGAAGAAGTATGTTGGTATCACCGCCAATACGGTGGAAGAGCTAGACGTTGTCTGGCTCCCTGCATTAGGCACGACCCAGCTGCTTCAGGGAAAACGAATAGCCCGCATACTAGCACTACAAACGTATCATTCAATAACCAAGCAAACCGACTGTTTTACGTTAAGGATCGACGTTCTTCCATCACGTTCCTCATCGACACAGGAGCGGAAGTCAGCGTCATCCCAGCGACCGCTAGCGACAAGCACTCGAAGCCTAGGTACAATTTGCGTGCGGCCAACGGTTCTCCGATAGCTTCATTCGGTCAGCGCATGATGAACCTAGACCTCAATCTTCGCCGAGATTTTCAGTGGGTCTTCATGGTTGCGTCTGTACCCTTCGCAATTATCGGTATCGACTTCCTCCGACATTTTGGCTTGCTTGTTGATGCTGGTCGCCACAGACCTTTAGACGACCGTACGAAACTAGGTGTTGATGGTGTCCTTTCAGATGCCCCGATAATCAGCCCTGTATTTCGGATCGCAGGCGCACCGTCCGACTACTTGAGCCTCCTCTCCGAATACCCGCGACTGGTTCGACCGGCTGCAGAGCTTCCACCAGTCACGACAGAGGTCGCTCACCACATAGTTACGCGCGGTCAACCAGTTAGCGCACGACCAAGACGGCTTGCTCCAGACAAACTACGGGCAGCACGAGCCGAATTTGACCACATGCTTCAACTTGGTATCGTCAGACCGTCCAACAGCCCATGGGCGTCGCCTCTGCACATGGTCCCGAAGAAGGTTGTGGGGGACTGGCGTCCTTGCGGCGACTATCGATCCTTGAATACGGTAACCACGCCTGATCGCTATCCGATCCCACACATAGTGGATCTCACCGCCAGTCTGGCGGGTAAAAATATCTTCAGCAAAATCGACTTGGTACGCGCATACAACCAAATTCCGGTAGCCGAAGCGGACATCGCTAAAACTGCCGTGACGACTCCATTTGGTTTGTTCGAGTTTCTGCGTATGCCATTTGGCCTAAAGAACGCCGCGCAAACTTTTCAGCGTTTCATCGACCAAGTTTGTCGCGGCTTAGACTTCGCTTACGCGTATCTTGACGACATTTTAATCGCAAGCTCTTCACGAGAAGAGCACATACGCCACGTACGAACACTTTTTGATCGTTTATCTCAACACGGGGTGACGATCAACGCAGAAAAGTGTTCGTTTGGTGTCGATTCAGTTAATTTCCTGGGCCATCGTATCTCTTCTGCAGGCGTCGTGCCACTGCAGGATAAAATTCAAGCCATTATCGACTACCCCGAGCCTCATTCTTTCAAACAGCTCAGGCGTTTTGATGGCCTTGTCAACTTTTACCGTCGATTTATACCCAACTGCGCCTCTCTGATGCAACCCCTCACGGACCTTCTCCGAGGGAAACTCAAGACGTTCGAATTTCCTACCGCAGCACGCGCTGCTTTTAAGTCGCTGAAAGAGGCTATCGCCAACATAGCTTCCATAGCGCATCACGATCCGACCGCCCCACTGTCCCTTAGTACTGACGCCTCGGACGTCGCAGTCGGCGCTGTTTTGCAGCAACGCGTAGCCGACACGTGGCAGCCCTTAGCGTTTTTCTCCAAACGCCTACAACCTACCGAATCTCGCTACAGCACGTTCGGTAGGGAACTACTAGCCGTATATCTAGCGATACGTCACTTTCGACACATCCTAGAAGGCCGCTCCTTTGTCGTCTTCACCGACCACAAACCCCTGACTTACGTGCTCGGCTCGACTACCGACCGATACTCTCCTAGAGAGTCGCGCCACCTTGACTATATCGCTCAGTTTACGACCGATATACGGCATGTCTCAGGTGTGCACAACGCCGTCGCCGATGCACTTTCCCGCATTCAAGCTATCTCCGCTGACGCCGGCACTGCTATCGACTTGGCAGCCATGGCCACAGCGCAACTCAACGACCCTGAGGTTGATCTACTACGCAGGTCTCCCTCATTGGACATACGACCCGTTCCGCTGACATCATCAGACGGCACCATACTCTGCGATCTATCTCTGGGCACGCCGCGCCCAGTCGTCCCACGTGAGTTTCGGCAGACCGTGTTCGACGCGTTGCACGGCTTGTCTCATCCAGGCGTTCGTGCATCGGTTAAACTCGTAACCGCACGATTCGTTTGGCGCAATGTTAATCGGGACGTCCGTACCTGGGCAGCTGCTTGCCTTCCGTGTCAACGCGCGAAGGTGCACAAGCACACGAGAAGCCCATTAGGCACTTTTCCGACGCCAGACGCACGCTTTCATCACGTGCACGTCGACCTCGTAGGTCCTCTACCGCCTTCCAAAGGCTCTGTATATCTACTGACCTGCATCGATCGATTTACTAGATGGCCTGAGGCCGTCCCCATCCCAAATTGCTCCTCGGAAACAGTAGCGAAAGCTTTTATGGAGCGCTGGGTAGCTCAATACGGCTGTCCCGCCATCGTGACCACCGATCGAGGGTCACATTTCTCGTCGACATTTGCCACGTTGCTTAAGGATTTAGGCTGTCGCCACGTCCAGACGACGGCGTATCATCCGGCCGCTAACGGCATGGTGGAGCGTTTTCACCGCCAGTTGAAGGCAGCGCTACGTGCGCACGCAGATCCTTCATGGTCTGAAACGCTTCCCCTCGTTCTCCTAGGCTTAAGAAACACGGTTAAGACCGATTTCGACGCCACACCAGCGCAGCTAGTCTACGGTTGCACGCTGCGGTTGCCCGGACAGCTGGTAGCACCAGCCCCATGTACTTCCACTTTTGACTACGGAAGTTACACTGATCGATTGGCTCACCAGATGCGTGAGCTACGTCCACCCGCTCCTCGATCGCAGAAGACACCAGTGTACGTGCCCGAGAAGCTGTCTACTTGTTCACACGTCCTTCTTCGCGCAGACGGTGTTCGACAGCCTCTTCAGTCGCCGTACATAGGACCCTTCAAGGTGCTGCATCGTGCGAGTAAGGCGTACACTATTGACCGCGGTGGTCGACACGAAGTCGTCACCATCGACCGTCTGAAACCCGCCTTTATGGAAGAAACTACCTCGCCTACTTCGTCTAGTAGTGCCTCGTGCGACGTCACAACTCACCGTACCAATTTTCCGCATGCTAATGAAGTCCAACCAGACCACGATCACGGTCTGCAAGCTTCAGCAGTCCCGACATCACCCGAACCTAGTCCGCCGCCTCCCACGACCAATCGCCGTGGTCGGGAGGTACGTAAGCCCGTTCGCTTCTCCGACTATGTACAGTGTAAATACTTTTAACTTTGTAGATATTGTATATATTTGCCTCATTTTTGGTCGATTAACGTTTTGAAAACAAACAAAAATATCAAAAACCCCCGAAAAACCTTTTTCGAAAAAAATATTCAAAAACCAAAAAATATTTAAACACGCAGCTCATTCGTTTGTTCTTTTTGGCGTTTTCTGCGCGTGTTTTTCTATTTTCTCGTCTTTACATGCTCCAACCCTCCCCTTCGATCGACTGGCCCACACGAGGAATTTTTTCGAGGACCCTGACGCGAACACTGGTCGCTTCTCCGCGGGACGAGGATCGCTTCTTCGCGGGACGAGGATCGCTTCTCCGCGAGACGAGGGTCGCTTCTCCGCGAGACGAGGGTCGCTTCTCCGTGGGACCATGGTCGTTTTCTTCGTGGGACGAGGGTCGTTTTGGCGCGGGGCGGGGTGCGGCGGGGGGAGAGACCACTCCCAAGCGCACCGTTTGGCAGCAGCGGAGGTTGAGCTCCTGTCGGCCTTTTTCTGGGCTAGCCAGTTTTTTTGTAGTCCGACAAGCCCGCTCCAACGGCTCGCCGAAATGCACCCTGCCCTGCATTCAATAAATAACAAATCATAAACGGCACAGCGGACTCCGACTTCCGACGAACCCCCATTTACACGAACGCACGCCCATTTTTACTCGGCACGATTTCGCCTTACGAACCTGGTTTCAACATTCCTTTTCGATTTCGAAGGCTTTCTATGTTCAGCCTTCTAGGGGGGGAGCTCTGTAGCGCCCAAAAAGATAACTCTTATCTTTCGTGTACAATTTACTTGTTGACCGATTGTACATTACTCCTTCTTGTTTTAATCTTACAACCGGCTCGACACACAACTGCCTTGTAAGTCCCCGCGCTCACGTGTACGCTCTTGCCTCGCTTCATCCGTCCGCTTCTTGTTGTAGCCCATCGAATACAGTCCGCTGTGTCCGACTCCAATTGCCTTCTGATATCCGCGCTTAATTCCGCGCATCGTCTCGGACTAGTATTAACTAGTCCTACAATAGATATGAGCCTTTTAGCTACTCAACCGCCTTATCCTCGAATATTGTTGCATAATATAGGGACCATGAGAAGGAGCGACAGAATTGCTTGGAACACCTGCAGAGGTCATTTAACAAACAGTTGATTAGTTAGCATCCTGCCATTATAATGGTCGACAGCGTTGCCTCCAACCTCAACTTGAAACATTTTGCATGCAACGACTAGGGCGTTACTTTTTACTAGTTAAATTAAATTAAATTAAATTGTATATGGCTCGACGATGCGAGAAGCCGTTCCCAGGAGGGACGGATCAAATAATGGTACAAACGGTTACACAAAAAGATCTGATCCGATCTGTCAACACTCAAACGGTAACAGCTGAAATCGTAACAAATAGTATAAACTAATTACACCAAATTTCCTAGCACTTGTGCGTCCAAATTTCCTCCTGGTCACTTATACCTATGGGTGGAATAAACAGTTAATCATACTCAGGCCATGTGACAGTGTGACGACATTTAATAACAAACTCCCAAACTGCCTTGACCCAGATAAAATAATAACTAGATTCATATGCGGAAAATCTCTCGATGAGGTACTCCAAGATGGGCCCAAAAATGTCCAAACACCAAACCTTGAGTTGCATCTCAACCATAAGCCAAATCACGATTACATGAATCGCATGCCTCAGTACTGCACATATGCATATGGCGGATGCATGCTACCTTTTCACACAATGATCTGTGACGCTACCTGTAATGTTTCGGATCACGCGAAATATATACATATTATGAACGACAGGAGCGAATTACTGGGCTTTGTCATGGTGATGGGCTAGAACAAGCAGGAAGAGTGGTCAGACTGAGACAACACCCTTTAAGACGGGACCTCTAACAAATGGTAGTCTTTGTCAACCGAACCCGTTAGGTAACAATTTGTTCGGAATTAACAATAAGTACTTTCACACAGGATTTTGCCACCCTCAGATTCGGTGAAGCCACAAGTTACTCTTCTTCACCGCTGTTGTGTCAATTCTAATTAAAATATGCAACGATCAACAGTTTTGCATCAGATTACGAACATTATTTGCTTACCCAACATGATCCGCAGCTCGATTGGTCTCGTATCTCTGCAATTGTCTCACATTGGGGCCATTGCTCAATGGAGTTGAACGCTTTCGGTAGTGCTAAAACGACATCCTCATGAGTCACAGTAGGTCTCCACGAATTTCGCTGAGCTGGATGTTCGAACCGCGCACCGAGTTGACGTCTCAAGTCATCCAATGTCCGGAAGCGCTTGGATTTCTCCGCCTTCCATGTAATGTGAGGCTGGAAGCATCCAGAGCAGTTAAACGAATTGCATCAATACACTGCTATGAATGGGTGTTTTTATGTCAAATTTGTTCTAGCATGAATAAAAGGTTCAATCCGACTCGTCGATATCCCTAATGGCTGAGAAGTTGCAAGTGAAAAATTAAAACACTTAATCCTGTAAACGAGGTATCTCAGTTTATCTGAGTGAGGTATGAGGATTGAGCTCAACAAACTAGGGATACTACTCTTCATAACAAGGATGTGCCGGGGTGGCCTCTTGTCAGAGTCGTGTGGGTATTTTCAAGCGAAGCTCGCCCCCCTCATTTGTTGTTCGCACAGTGTAGCCGGAGCGATATCTATAAAACTGTGTATACATCATTTTATAGCAGACAGCTTGCGAGGTTCTTAAAGTAGTGAGTGAGACGATGACCAATGTGCAGCAGCACAGCTTAAATAAAATGAAACTTCTGGTCCCGTTTATGCAGATGATAGACTGCGTTCGGCTGCCCCACTGCTGTGCCCTGTCAACTTTCTGTACCTTCGATGCATTCAGTTAGATCTATCAAGCTTACTAATACATGTAGTTACAAAGGTTAATGACACAAGGAAATAATTGAAGAGCCTCCATGGGTAGGTCACTGTCCACCGTCTAGATTTATACGGATTGAAACAAAGCAAGTACCAAATAGAGAACCTATCTATCGTAACAATAAATAAAACCCAGTTCCACTTAAACTGAGTTTCGGATGCTTCTCTGTGATAAACAAGACGAACTAGCTCCACCCTTGAAGAATTCCGCTAACGAGCCACGGAAATCGAGAACTTGTATAGTAAACACGAGTGCTCGACAAGTTTACGCTGAAGTGACAGGCGGACTCCAGACGTGGAACCGACTTTTATGCCGTTGGCTTTCCCAGTGAGCCAAACTTCGGGCAAACATCATGCACTCAAAAAAAGAAATTTGAGTACAGTCTTATCACAGGAGGTGGAAACATTTCTCCTTGGTGCGGCTACCGTTCACACTCATCACAACGTCATGCGCAAAGGGTTGTGGAGCATTATGTCGGATGTGCATCGACGCTTCTATTATCATAAGGGATTGCTTTTTTGTTTGAAACATTTCTTACCAAGACAGCCAGCTTGTTAAAATTCGGTCATCTTTCAAAAGTATATCGGTCGCTCCTGCCTAAACGCATTTACTACACACGATTTGTATGTTAATTGAATGTCGCTTTTAGTGAAAAAAGACGTACGACATTCTGAGGTCGGTGCCGCTAGCAATGCATTCCAGTATAGTATAATTTATTTAAACACGGTACTACTTCACCTGAGTTGACGAAGCTCTTGTGTCAAAAATGAAAAGCTATCTCAGAAATACATCGACCAATCGTTTCCAAACCTGTCTAACTTTATGACTTCTAGATCGGTCCCAAGTATCTTTCAAAACAGAAAATACAATATCCCTTTTCTTACACTGTTTGTATTTCCACAGGTGACCGATGACCACCTGCAATGGGGAGTCTAACCATCAACATATATCAGTAGGACCAGTGCCTCTTGGTCTCTTTTGAAAAGTTTCCTAGTACCTTCTTAACCACCGTTTTTAGATAAACCTTTTATCCGTATTCTTTAAAAGCTCTTGGGCAAATATGATTCAAACGTAGGAACATGAGCAGCAAACTATTCGTTGGTACATCGAACGTAACAATTATGTTCGAGGAACCCCAGGTAGGTGGCTGACAATGGAAACCTTTTGGGCGTCACCTCAATCTGGGACTACTTACCAATGAGTTTATATAACGGACCAGTTCATTTGACAAAGCACTAAAGGTTTGATTCTCCAGGCGCCATGCTTCGTTCCCATTGAGTAGCAACAATGCTAGAAGTGGAATAACGTAAAACATTTGCCTCTCGGACCTGCCGACTCTCATTTTTGACCGAATACTGTGCTACTAGCGAGTATATGTGCTCTCGGTGGCTCAAAGTTCAGCCGCGGATCGCACTTTGTTCGCTGACACGTTAGCTACATTTGATTAATTTCATGGGGCCAAAACCAACCTAGTCTAACACACCACCATGATTACGGTTTAGCTCAGCGTGTGGAAACAGCTCAACTTCATACGTTGTAAATACTTGAATATCTAACAGACAACGCAGCGGATGACGATTCATTGAAGAGGTACAACAACAAGCGCATCAAATGTAGGGGTAATTGGCTCTAAATGAATCATCTGAATGCTTTACTGATTTTCGTGATCGTGATCCGGACCACGCTAGCAAACTGAACTGCGTTCTAGACCATTTTGTCTGTAATTTTTTCAAAGAATACTAAGCACTTTACTTATTCAGGACAAGCACTTATATGACAACGTGTTTGAGCAAATTTCCTGAGTTATGGAAGGGCATAAAATGTAAAAACTTTCGCTGAGCCTTTCTTTTTATGCACACTTAGCCAAGCATGCTTAACAAAGTTCAAGTGAAGCCCCAGTACCTCGATTGTTTCAACCCCAATTCCCGGACACAACGGTGGTTAGAACACAAGGTTTGAACTTGAATGTCTAAATGCTAGTATCATTGATGGGTGCGTAATACAGTGCAGCGAGTTTAAAGAAAACTGTTTGCGCTTAACTATTTCGTCACTCAATGTGTACTTGACGATCTACACAGGATAACATCCAATCATCTTATAGAGAGCGGTGCGTCAAGCTTCCGTTGTTCAGTCTGGCGTTCTCTTCGCTGAGCAGGGCTTGTGATGATTAACGGTCAACTGTACTGAAAAACAAAACGGTCAGGACACTATGAAAGCCAAAGTTGCAACACAGACACCATCATGGTAAAAAAGGGTGGAAACTCTCCCCTGAACATCGGCGATAAAATGACCTAATGATGGGAGCGAGATGAAATCCGAATTTTCGGGAACTGAAGGTGTCTAATATCAACAAAAAGCTAGGTGATCCAGTAAACTGGTGGAATGTATGTTGATAGAAACGTGGTTACACAGTGTGGCTAGATCCTTCTCTTCAAGCGTGCGAAATGCCCCTAACACAGGCGTTGAGTGTCAATTTCCTCTTTCACTCCGACAGCACTACAACAGCAAGTTGGAGTATCCGGCCTCGTTTACCGCGTATAATGCATCCGGTGTCCTTCTTCCTAATTCCGACGTCTTCACTCCGATGTAGGTTGAGGAGATGGCGGTCGCTGCTAACGAGCCGTAACGGACTAATCATGAGGAGTCGATCGTGACTGGTTTCATCGACTCCAAGGGTTTCGAAATGCTTCTGTTCCCATGAATTTTGATGGGTCGATTTTTCCAGCTCATCGTTCGTACGATAAGACCACTTCTCTGTAACTAAATCACACGCTTAGTCATTCGGTTATAGAGCACAACCGAGATTATTGAACAGCCAATTTGACGGAAAGGTTTTGGTATTCCTATAGACACAACTGTATCGTTGCTCCGGAATTTTTCAAAGCTTTCGGATCCAAATTTTATCACACATCCGCCTGTGTACCCTCATTTCATCACTTTAGATCAGGTCTTTCTATTGTGCAAACTTCCTCGAGTGTACTCATACCAGATCAAAGTCTATCGTCGGTATTTCAATTTCTGCTGTGAATCGGCTCAATCGTGCTTTAAACCCCAGTGCCTACCATGATCACTTCTAAAAGAAAGAGGCTAGTTATGGTTTCACTTGCGAGACAGCTCCGCGGCCTCTATATCAAGCCTATATCCATCTCAATCGGTTGCTGTACAGAGCAGATATTAAAGAAAATCACCACTTCCTAGACGGTCACTGCAGCTTTCCCTGCAACCAGTCTAGGACCAGCTTCTCGCGTTACCTACCCAAACCCCACAGTTATCGCGACGTTATCGATAAACGCGCCTCAATTACCGAATGTTTTGTTAATGTGGTCCGGAGCAAGGAAGAGCTGCACTCAGGTGCTGATGTACAATCGGTTCGCTGAATTGCTAACTGTCCAGTGGCGCAAGTGGCTTTGCCGGCAGGGGTGAAACGAGACACAGACGCCACATGTGTGCCTACCATCGCAGGGTACACCTAGCCGTTCGGCTGTGAGAAGTGAACGTTAGCCAGAGCCCACAGCCGCAAGGAGTACGTCATGCATGGACCGCATGGTAACACCTAAGAAACGCATGACGTTCAGCTGTGAGAACTGGGTGTGAGCCGGAGACCACATAGCCGCACTGAACGTGTCATGTTTCGATCAATCAGTAGTCGGCATTCACGCAGGTGAAAAGCCAGCGAAAGGGTTTCCTGTGAAGTGGTTAGTGAGGCGCTGTGCTAGCAATTGAGAAAAACAGCCCGGCCGTATGTGATGACCGGTTGATAGGCGTCGTATTGTTATCGTCACTATAACTGTTGTCGCCTCATGACTGGCTTCTAACAAACCCGTAAGCTTCTAGTAGGTTACTTTCGTTGCTAAAGGCAATCATACTGCCGGGAGCACATTATAAGTTTACAGTGTTGTTCGCTTTACCATTTCGATCGCGTGTGTGTTACAGCTGAAAATTCACGTTTCATGGGTGCATAAAAACGATTCCTTGACCTGAATTGACGTGACAATGCTCTTAGATTTCAAGTCTGCCCCGACGCACTGGTGGCACCATTAGACAGTACACCAATTTAGTCATGAATGCAACTATTGCCCTCACAGTCAGCCAATTGGCAGTTGTACTAATGGATCGGGACTTCCATGATGTTTCTCATGTACAATCGGGAATATATATTTATTCATTTCCTTACTTATATTTAAATGAAATGGGTCCCATGTCGGTAAATAACAACGAATTAGATGTTCGATTTTCCCACCGTCGTAGATCACTGCGGTAGTGAAGTTTTACGCCTCCCCCCATCCACGTCTGTCTTTACCTAGGGCGGACATACCGGGTAAAGCGATCTCTGCCTTTGATTCCATCATTTAGCTAAGCCTGATTTATCATTTTCAGGTCCACAGACATCGAGGCTTGGCGAGATTGAAGCGCCGGTAATTGGCTGAGGATGCTTTGAACATGGACATACATACAGGAGAGCCTCCAGTAGTGGCAACGGTAGTTGACGGAGATTCAGTGTTGCGTTCAGGCCGGTTGAATGCTTCCATTTGCTTTATCACGAAAACTATGCGCGTCGCCCGGTAAGAGTATTCTACTTCAGATATCACCTGTGTCTTCTCTAAGCTATCTAACTCATCGATAACTAACTTAAGAGAAGCATACGGCGCCGATCTTTTGGGTCGGAAAACAAGCTTTGCATCATCCTTTAAATGAAGATGTGCCATGAATTTGGTGCAACAACCAAGTGTGGGGTTGAATACCTCTGGACTGCTTCTGCATGTCAGCGTCGACTGCAAAACTCTGAGCTGCATAGTATTGTGACAGACTCTCCTCGGTTTTATCGCATATAGGTTCAAGAAGTACACTCCACAAATTCAACGCGGGTATCCAATCAGTACCAAGTATGTTTAAGCCCGGGTTGTCAGAAATGTGACAGATGCCAGTTCGATTATCGTTTCTGTAAACATATTCACAGGAATATTTCCATGTAGCTGTAGGATACTGTTCGCTGCACTCCTTGCAGTATTTTCCGCATTGCACAGTAGCGGTCTACAGATAGTCGACCATATCTGGCTGTAGATGATGGTAATATCAGATGCGGTATTCAGCTGTAGGCGCACTGGGTGACCAATTATATTTAGAATGAAGAATTGATAAAGCTAACCAAATGCTTTCTGTGCAGTTATCTAAACCACATTAGACGCTCATTTGCTCCCGCGTTGCTGAGACTGGTCCCCACGATAAATATGTCATGCGGTCGATCAGAAATGAGTTTCCTAATGGACTTTCTTGTGTTAGACAGTGCGCTGGCAACATTTCACTTCCAACGATTCCAACAAACACGTTAGAGTTTCTAGCGCATACTGCCATATAGATCTGTCGGTTTTCGAGTAGAGATTGTCTCAACCATCGCGAGCTCTGATTTCATTTGTCTGGACTGCAATTTTTGCTAATCCCTTTGTAAATTTTCGAGACACTAACACTCCGCGTTGACGTCCTGCATGATGAAAACTATAAATCAGTTCAGTTTGGATAATAGAGTTGTTTTGATGTCTGCGTCAGCTGCGGAGGACAATCAGGAGATAAAAAGGAGTGACTTGATCTGATGGTCCGTAAACTGCATGAGCATGAAACCTTCGCATTGTTTTACTTTGCCAGCGTTTGAAACAATATCCTCGGATTAAATTTAGCTAGATTCAAATACTAAAATGAGATTTTAAAAATCGATAATCTCTCACCAGATTGGAAGTAGGAACATCCACATTCTCTTGGAAATTGCGCTCGCGGGAATGTTGCCGTTCAATATAAGTTCATTACTGGTTGTTTTCATTTGAAACCAACTCCCATAGCAACAACCGTCTTTGGCCACATGATCAAGCGTGATCGCTTGAACCAGGAAGATGTCTTCATACCGTGTGTATCAGGCTGCAAACCGTAGCCGTTCTCCGTGTCATATTGGAAATCTTGCATTCCATTTGACAAAGCTCCAGCTGTAGTGGACTCGGTTTCTACTGTGGTGGGTGTCAGGTTTATGGATGATAGTTTCCCTGCGAGGGCTTGGAAACACGATATCTGTCTTTGTTCATATTGAAGTACAGCCCCGGTCTGCTGCCGTATTTACTCTTGCTGTTTTTGGAATAATTTGGTTAGCAGTGAGTGAGCAGTCAAATAATAGTTCAATAGTTCAATAGTGTATGGTGGGATAAAAAGCAATAACTTTACAAGACCCACAGGATGGCAAATGGAAGAAAACAAAAGTTCTAGGTGTGACACAGAAATATCAGTAAGTTAGACACTGCAGTTTGTCATACCGTTTTATAATGTGTATCATATAAGTGCAAGTCCAATAGTCTTTCGAATGTCTC